GGCGCGCAGAGGTAACCGGCACCGACGTGGGGAGCAACGGGAGGGCTCCTGTGTGTCGCCTCCCCGAGGGAAGGCCTGTCAGCGCCGCGGGCCTGCGCCCTCCCCTCTTCCCGCGCCTCTCCTTTCCTCAGGTGGTGAAAGGGGTTGGGGGGTGACGAAGGCCGCACCGGTAGCTCGGGAGATTTGTACCGTGGATTTTTTTTTTTTATGATGGTGGTGGGAAACGGAAAAAAAAACGGGATTTGGTGGAACGGAGCACCGATTGCACAACGCTCTGGTGCCTTTAAACGAAGCTCGTTAAACCCCCCAACCGGTGAAAGCCTGGGCTTGCGTCCAATTAGCGATAATTAGCGGCGTCCGAGTTGCTGGGAAAGAGGCTCTGGGCAGAGCAGGTGCCACTGGCTGAAGTGTCTGGGGGAGGTGCAGGTTACTTTTTACTGTTTTTGCCTCTTTTTCTTGGCCTTTCTGTATTGCTTTTCCTGAAACCCCCTGCTGTTGCTGCACTTGCAGGAAGATTTTTTTTTTGGAAGCGATACCCTTGCCTGTAGCTGAATGAGTCAGAGAACTTATTATTTTTGAGAAGCTGTTTTTTATCTCCATGAGGTAAGCTGCTTATTGCAGCTGAGTGCGCAGGATGTGGCGTGGCCTGTGCTCAAAGGGTTAAGCCAGCAGTACCAGCTCCAGCTTGTCCTGCAAACCCTCAAAAATAATGAGGTTTGACACACGTAACACTCTGAATTTACTGCAGAATTGTTTGGTAAAGGTAACAGAATTGGAATTTTTCTGTTGTCAAAACTGGCGTGTAAAAGCAATATGTAAAAAGATAGGTGTGACTTCGAAAACCAAGTACGGAATAGTAAAATTATTTATGTGAGAGTTTTAAAACTTTCTTTTTGGTGGTTGTAAGTGATTATCTCTTGTGCGAATTAGTTAAGGTGGGTGTTACTTAGGGACTGATTGTCCTCAATGCAAACTTGGGAGTGTTCAGGGCTAGTAGATGGGGTGTTTTGGGGGACAGAGAGGAGAATTCTGTTCTCTGTGTCCCTATGACCACCTTGGGTGGTGGGAGGTTCTTCCAGTTTTGAGCACTTGGTTCCAAAGTTGGTAGTTCCTCCCCATACTTCTGTATGAAATAAAATGTAAAGGAGTTTTCTGCTATTTCACAACCCGCTAATCCCAATAGCCTAGATAGATGCTCTTGCTGTTGTCAGTAGTCTTATGTTTGGCAGATATCCTGATTTTGTTTGTGTTGTGAGGGGGGGAAAATTGCCTTTAGTTTAAAAAAATGCAAGACTTGGCAGTGAGTGTTGTAACTGAGAGCTTATTGCTGTGCCAGGCAGCCGGTGCATATTTGTTTATTGGGGTATCTGTGGAAGTCACAGTTGCACTGAAACATTGATTGTTGAGAATTGCGCTCTGCACTTGCTTGTATTTGTAAGTAAGTAGTTGTGGTAGCTTTATTCCTGTTAACATTATTTAATTGTACAGCGTGTTTTGTCAAAAACATCATCCGAGCCTGTACGTGGACTAAACATGAAAAGATCTGTCCCTGTGTGTCAAGCTGACACAACAGTAGTATTTTTTTTTAGCAAGGTAAGTTCAACGCTGTGCCCTCGTGGCTGACCAAGAGCACTGTGAGAGAGGAGTGTTTATATATGTTTTTAAAGAAGGTTGTTGCAGTGGGCACGATGCGGCCGGCAGCATCTGCTGCGAACGCCGAGGCTGCGGTCCCACAACTGCCACGTCCTGGTAACAGATTGGCAGAGTGCCTAGCATGGCACTTCATGTACAACTTTGTAGTTTATTCACTATCACTTAGCATGCTTTTCCTCTTCACAGAGATGCTGGGGTTTTAAATTGATCGTATTTAGTCCTCTCGCAGTGCCAAATGGTAAAACGTTTGGTCTGTTTCTGCTTGGTGCTTCAGCCCTTCTCCGTAGGTGGTTCTGTAGGGCAAGAAGGTTTTGTATGCAGATGTTTTTTTGAAGGAGGGTGGATTTCTTCTTTTGTTGCTTTTGTTTTATTTTAAGCATTCCTGTCTCAGTTCCACTTAGAAGTGGTAAAACGAATCTTAGTAGAGGAACCATTTATGAGGAACCAAGCCCTCAGAATGGTGAATTAATCAAAATAACCCTTCCATGATAAATGTTCAGCCCAGGATATTCTCTAGACAGGTAAACTTGGCACTCTTGTATTTTTAGTCCCAAAAATATCTTAAAAATCACCTTGAAGTTCAAGTGTCTTAAGTAGTGTAAATTTTGATAAAATAAATTTGAAATTTCATTTGAGTCAATATTCCTGCTTGTAACTTTGTGGCAGTTTACAGAAACTTTCCATGTAAATTTAGGATTGTCCTTAATGCTTCTCTTCTGTATTTTTTTGTTCTTGCATTAGAGTAATGTAATACAGTATAATTAAGTTGATCTTTAAGTCTATCTCTTTTGGCCATTACTCTAGGTCTTATTTGTAATTCACAAAAGTTCCAGTTATTTACTTGTTCTTAATATAAATCTTTATTTAAAAAGGTTGTAATTATAGTAGTTAGTATGTAGCTTTTCCCACTGAAAACAGTAATAGACTTCTTAGCAGATATATAGCAAAATTGCCCAGTACAAATAGAAGAGAGATTGAAGATCTGGATTACGGATGTTTATGTTTTATTTGTGTGTTGAAAGTTGTGGTGTGGCAAGGATAAAGGTTGATTTGCATCACGCCTAGTCATGAAATAGTCTCCCAAGCTGTTGCAAAAGGAGGAAAAGATTGTGCAGTTCCTTAGTGAGGTGGGTTGTGTTTTTTCATGTTGGGGCGAAACTATTTCAACAAAAGTAAATTTGGATTAAATTATCTGACTGTAAAAAGTCAGCATTTGCCAAATAAAATCCAAACCTGTCTATGTGGTTCCTGGTTTCTGAGACACTTCTATAGTATTTTTATATTATAGTAATTAGTGTATAATAATTTATGTATTTGTGTATAGTAATTTTTGTGGAGACGCTTCAAAGATCTCTTATTTCCAAAGTGTGTGCTAGAGGTTGATTGTATTTATCCTTCTGAGGATCAGTTCCCTGTCTGGCATGTGGCATATTTTGTGATAAAGTTGTTGCTAGGAACTCTCAGTTGTCTGAAGTTGGAAGACCTGGAAAGCTTCTGGGTCATTTGTGGATTATCCAGGCTTTAAAAAGTTAAACAGTGAGGGGGTGAAGTGAACATATTTTTTAATAAAATTTGGTTATTCAAAGTTGAATTTTGTTGCTGAAACCTTTGGTTTCTATTTCTGGGATTTGGTGCCATGGGAAGTAGAGCTAGAATATTATTAAATGTTATATCCCAAATTGCCTATTTAATGTATACATATATGTGTATGTCTATAACATCTTGAATGGGTTGCAGTCATGGAAAATGCTGTTTTTATTTCAGAAATATTCCTAAAGAGTTGGTGGAAGGCATGTGGAAAAGTCTATTGGAGTTGGGTTTTGGTTCTGATTTTGAACGCATGTTTCTTGGTTCTGCTGTGACTGTAGTGTCAGCAAAACCTTCCCTGGGGTGTGTTGGTTCATGCAGTTACTGTTTTCTTACTTTCAACTTTTTATTTGGTGAATGAATTTGATTAGTGGAAAGGAAGACTTTACATCCCATCATCTAAAGGGTTTCTTTTGTTTTCAGGTATTACTTGCGGTCGTACACGCATCCCTGTGCTGGGAAAACTTGGAACTTTTGAAAGTTGCTCCCTGAGAAGAATTCCTCTTAGAAACTTTTCGGAAACACCAGCATACTTTGCTTCAAAGGACGGTGCCAGCAAGGATGGTTCTGGAGATGGGGGCAAGGTAGCATCCATGCATTCTCATTTTCAGTAGCTATTCTATTTTTAACATTTCTTAAAATGTCTTTAGTCATTCATCCTTGCTTTAAATCAAAATTTTTGTGGTATTTTTGTCAAGTCCGATACTACTGATTCAATCAGTTCGGCTTTTTCAAAAGCGATTTTGTGTTATCCCAAGTGGGCTTTTTATCATGAATACGTTTTTAAGTGATTATTTTCAGCATCGGCTTGACAGTTGTATCAAGGAGGACAGCTTTGTGAGGAGGCTAGTTTTACCCTTGTTAGTAAATCTTAATCTATTTTCATTATAGTTAATAAACAGCTTCTTCAGTTAAATGATTACCTGAGGATAAAACTGTTCTTTAGTCAGCAAATAAGATTTTGAGCGTTCACAGGGTACTTCCATAGCCTTGCCTTAGTGTGGTGTGTTCTGAGATCTAAGAGACTAGCCAAATGGCACAGATATGCTCTGAAGGTTAAGTTAATTTTAAAATAAACTCAGAAGATCACATTTTTTTTTCTTTTTGGAAATGTGACAGGGAAAAGACTGAGTGAGAAAGCAACATGTTTTAAAAAGGGGAGCTTGAGAAGAGTGCATATCCTCTGAAGTAATGCATATATGGTACAAAGCTGTCTGTTCACGTTCCTTCTATAAACTTCCATTCATTTACTGGTCTGATGCTGTACGAAAACATTTTTAGAAAGAAAGAATCTTGGTTCCAACATGTAAGAACTTTTGGCAGTATAAAGGCATGGAAGGGACATAGCTTTAAAAATGTTAACCTTCAGCATTCAACAGTGATAGATGGAGTAAGAATGAAAAGATAAGTGGGACTATGGAATTATCTTAAAATGGAAGATTTCCAAGCAGTTCTTGAGATGCTTTTTTTTTATAGGCCATGTCAGCCCTACGGCTATCTGCCAGCATTGCTACATCTGTCAAGGACATGAGAGGAGCTGTGGCTTTAGAAACCCTTAGAATGAACACATTTGGGGTAGTGAAATTACTGCCATAAGTATCATTTTCTTCTCTGGGGTTAGAAGAAATTGTTAGTATACGTTAGTGAAAAATTATTGACGTAGCTTAAATCATTATTGTTCAATGTCAGGAAAACAGTTCCAATGTAGGTATGGGATATATGTAGTCAATAGCCTCTTCAGTGGACATTCCAAACGGATAGATTCAAGGAAATGCAGATGTCTTACATTTAAGAATGTCCATATTGTGTGCAGACTTTCAAAGCCTTTCAGAAACCCTGACATTGCCTGTAAATCTACTCGGCTATTACAATATTCACATTATTAGCTTTTGTCAGCACGTTGCTAAATGCCTAATGTAACAGCTCCGTTGCTTCGAGCTAATAGTCTGGATTTTTTTTTTCTCTTTTCAGAAGTCTGTCAGTGAGGGAGGTAGTAAAAAGTCAAGCTCTGGAAGTTCAGGGAAAGGAGGGAACCAGCTGCGCTGCCCGAAGTGCGGTGACTTGTGCACGCACGTGGAGACCTTCGTTTGTAAGTTTTTAATGAATTACTACTTTTATTTAAAAAAATAAAAGTTAGCTAGATCACATAGTCACTTTTTTGTCTGTTTAAAGCTTCAAATATTACAGAATGTGAAAAAAAAATTGCTGCATTTGACCAGATTATTATAAGCATATATTTGCTGATAAACTTGTTTAGTTTGTGGATCCTAATTTTTATAATAGCTATTATGTTTTATGTAGCTGAAGAAATGCTCAAGTAAACGACACCAATTCAGCTGATACTTCCACCTGTCTGTTTAATATATTTGTGAGGTGTGTCCTTTGCTTACTGAATAATAAAAATTTGGTCCTGCCTGTGTAGTGCAAAGTACTTTTCCACCAGAGGAAACAGTCTATTACAGATGGCTGATTGCAATCCTCTTTTATGGCAAAAGAGGATGTATGGTATGTTCTTAGTAGAAGCAGAAAAAATTAGATAGAACATTAAGAATTGTAAATTATCAGACGTCTGATGTCGTGCTCCCTCTTGGCTGGCAGGGTGGGTGTCTGGAGGGCAACCTGAGCAGGGGCTTGGAGCAGATGATCTCCAGGGGTCCCTTCCAGCCCCAGCAGTTCTGTGACTGGGATTCTGCATCACTGAGAGGTGTTTCAGTGAGATTTTTTTGTCACTGTTTGTTCTGGTAATGAGCCCGTGACTGCGTCCATCGTGATGAAGTGGCTCTGAGTGACGTGGGGAAGATGAACGGATGGTCACGGCAGAAGATGTATTGACATTGCAAGCACGGAGTCAGGATGTGAGGAAGTCTGCTTTGATTGTCCCTGCTTTTCTCATCGTTGTTTCTTCCCATGAGAGACTTGGAGACTGTAGCTTTTAAGAAAGCCTTTTGCTGATATAAGGCAATCAGATTGACACCAGATAATCTTGGAGAATCCTTTTCTTCATCTTAAGAGCAGAGCAGTTTAGTGTGTTTTTTTAAACTAAACTGCTCTAATTGCTCAGAATTCCTGTGGGTCGTAGTAATTTTTTTCACTGCATGCATTTCTATTTCTAATTTGGTTTGTTAATTTGAGCACACTGCTTCCTAGACAAACAGTAGAGCCTAAAGTAGCTGGGAAGTAATGAAGCTAAGTGCTAATTCTCTTTATTTAAAAAATAAAAAAAAATATATTTCTTCAGCTTTGTCTCAAAGGGAATAGGTTCCTGGTTATGTTAGCATATAGCTTGATTTTCAGATAAGCCTTTGGTGTTGCTTGCTTAGATCAAATTAATTTATCCATCCAATTCTGGTTTGAATTATAAAGCTATAAAGTCTTAATTGTGTAGCTAAAGCCCAAGGAAAACATTAATGTGCTATATTTTTCCTGTTTTTAAACATTTTTTTCACTCATTTTGTGAGGGAAATTCAATATTTTAAAGCCAAATTCATTAGTCAATGAATTTGCAATTAGTGAGTGATAATGTGGCAGACTGTTTACCTAGAGGAGTGTATTTTTAGTAGAGTTTCATTATGTATCTGCAACATTTGCACACTGATTTGTTCATCTGTAGTTTTCCAGCAGTTAAAAACTGAAAAAGAGGTTTTGCTTTGAATTTGACCTTTTTAAAAAAATTTTCTAAGCCATCCCTATATTGTTTTGGATTGTGAGGCTGAGTAAGGGGAGTTTTGTGATCAGTGAAATAAGATTTAAACCTTATAATCTACAGTGAGATGTAATAGCTTTAAACCTGGATGCAAAAGGGTAAGTATTGTTGCCATAAGTCTCAAATTGGTACTTTTCTTACTCTTTCACTGACTCTGTTTGCTCACATCCTCCAAAGCAATCCTCCTCTATACTTAGTATTTTAATGACTTTCCTAATCTTTTTTTTTTTTTTTTCCCTCCCTTGATCTCATTTTACCTCATAGCAATTTAGTGGTGCATTATCTCAACCCTGCAAGTGTGTTTGAGATTAATCCTCTTATTGTTCGGGCTTCCCGTATGTGTTGTATGAATCCAGCATTTCTCTCTGACAAGGTCAGCTTGTGTGGACTTCAGAAACCGCTTTGCAAATGCAGCGTCTGGCATGCTATGGTACTATGTGAATCCAAGCCAAGGCTTGTTTGTTTTTCTGCCACATCATGAATATTTGCAAATATCTTAATGACAGTGAGGTAATTTGACACGAAGGCTGTTTCCTAGGCTTTTGTGTGCTTGTTTACACTGCCTATAAAACCCACTCCAGTATTTAAGAATAAGAAGCTGCTTGAAATTTGATATTTTACTTTTTGGTGATTGTAGCAGTACTTCCACTTGTTTTCCTTACAATTCAGACCAAACCTCTCAGTTTCTGCAGCAGTTGAAGTTCTGTTCAAACTCATATTGCTGTTTGTTTCCAGAAGGCTGCGTAGACAGTGGAGACTGGCCAGCTTCACACCTGCACTTTGCTAACTGTTCGAGTCCCCATGGCGGGGTGCCCCATACATCAAAGTTACTCTGTAACCATGGACCCAGTTGGTCTGGCTGAAAATCAGAAAGATCTCTGATAACCTTCCTGTGTCCTGTTTGGGGTAATTGATGAAAGTGAAGCACACCGCACAATGATTATTTTTTTTTTTGTGAACAATACTTTAAGAATGTGTGATAATAGCTTTTTAGCCTGCTCTTTATTGCCTTTTTTATTTCTCCACCATTCCTATGGATCTGTGAGGGGGGCAAGTATACTCATGGCTACTTCATCCTACTAAAGCTGAATATTAGCATTGTATAACAAAAGACAACAGCCTCGTGGCACTGTAGTCATTGGGAATATCCGAGCAGCTTTGGGTGTTAGGAGCAAATATTTTCCTATGGCAGAGTTAGGAGATAAGAGTCTTGAGGAGTGTGTGCAAGGGAGTTTCCATTGCATTCCCATCAGGTAGGTGTCCATAATTTTTAATGTTGCAGGAAGAGCTTTCCAGCTACTCTGCAACTTTTCTTTGGAGTATGGAGTTAATGGGGCCATGATGGTTAAGTACTATATGCTAAGTTGTTTTAATAATGTACTGGTCTAATTTATTCAGGCATAAGGTGTGTGTGGTAGTAAAGCAAGCAGCTCTTGCTGATGCCAGCAAATGCCTTGATGGGAGGCAAAAGCAAGTTTATAAATAAGCAGCTTGTTTACTGCCAGTGGCTGTGATTAATCAGCTGGTACTAGTTTGTAGAATCCATTTTCCAAAAACCCTTAGAGGTTTGAAAGTTTTGTTAATAAAGTAATTATTCTGTGTTAATATGCTCACAAACTTTAAGTCAATCAGGTTACTGTTCTCTTGAATTTAGCAGTCCTTTGCAGCATTGCGACAAACAATACGCACACGCACACACACATATATATAGGATTATAAGTTATTTTTTATCTATCCTCATTTTAGATTATATTTTGTCTTGTATTTTAAATAAAAATAGTAACGAGTATAAGTTTTACCTTGCAGGTTTTCAAAACCAACCTGTGCATATAGCATGATTTCTTGGGAAATGGTTCATAAAGTCAGTACCAGAGGGTTTGGATTCTGAAAGAAATCCATTCCATTCCTGACATTTAGAAACAGATAAGCAAAAGAGCTTACACAGGACCACAGTCCTGATCCTGTGCTGTATATGGGAGCTGCCCCTGCTCCGTGTCAGGGCGAGCACTTTGTGTGAACCCACAGCACTCCGTGTCCCAGGGCATCAGGCAGCCGCTGGGATGCTGGAACTGAGGGCTGTTCTGGCTCTCCCTGAGCATGTCATCTTTGGCATTTATATTGCAGATTATTGTAAGGCCTGTGTCTGACCAGAAGTGTGTGCTTTTTTTTTTTGTTTTGTTTTGTTTTTTTTTTTAACCTGCTGCTTTGAGATTTAGGAGCTTTTCCTTTCTTGCCTAGTCAGGAGCTCTCATTAATCTTGCATCACTCTGAGATGCAGAGTTTTCTCTTCTGGGTGTAGTGCTGCTGAATACCTAGCAAGTAGATTTTTTTGCTTTCTAATTCTTTGCTTGTTTGCTCCTATGCGTTGGGACATTTGGGTAAATGGCATTCTTTTTATGTGAAATTCTGAAATTTCATAGTTTATTAATTACTTTTTAAGTTTCTAAGGTGAATAAAGTGAAAATGCTGTGTAAATACAGTGTCCTACAGGTGTTTTAATATCCTGTCTATTACAAGCTGAGGCGAATGACTGAATGTTGCTCAAGTAGTTTCTCTCACCACTTTGTTCTACTACTTCTGCAGCTTCCACCCGTTTTGTGAAGTGTGAGAAGTGTCACCATTTTTTTGTTGTGCTGTCAGAGGCCGACACAAAAAAGAGCATCATAAAAGAGCCTGAGTCAGCAGCAGAAGCTGTGAAATTGGCATTCCAGCAGAAGCCGCCGCCTCCACCAAAAAAGGTAGGTTCTTGATTTCACCCTGATGTTTTCTTTTGCTGAAGTATGACTGAATGCTGTACATACTAATCTGTATCAGTGTGTAATGGTCTGCTGTGACAGAGCAGCAAACAACAAGGATGACTAGTTGAAGATTAAACCTATGTGACCCAGCAGAATACTCATAAAAGAAAACAAGACCCACAACTGATAAAAGTAGTCAGGCTTGTTTTCCTCTGGCCTTGTCTTGAAGGTACTGGGCTTCAGTCCCATTTTCTCCTTGTGACCCTGAGGCTTAATTTGGTCCTCGACAACCACAGTACCTCTAGTTCCTGCTGTGGCCTCATATTCTGCACCATAATATTAAGAGTGGGTTTTTGTAACTCCAGTGGCCTTGGTTGGGCCTGTTTCTGGGTTAAAGCTGTGACTAACTGGCAGTCCTGTGGCTGTGACGTGGCAGCTGCTGCCGCTGGGCTGATCAGGCCTTTGGTTTCTGTTTCCTGAGTAGCAAGGGACCTTATCGTGTGTCTCAGTTCTCAGTGCACTGAACTGGCGCCTGAAGCTACGTGAGGCTGCATTTATGAGCTCTTTTATAAACTACAATTATGAGCTGCATTTTATTATTAGAAATTAAATATATTTGAAACTTCAGTTCTGTTTTACGAATTCGAGTGAAATTGCCAGCAGGTCAAATATTAGCAAGGGATAACCAACAGATACAATATGACTTTAAGTTTCATTTCCTTAGTAAATCTACCACTGTTAATCTGTTTTGTTATTTTTTTAATGCCTGTTTTTTAATTCTAAATTTGTTACATTCATCAAGTTTATATCACAGACTAAAATAGTAAGTCAAATTATTTGAACCAGCTATGGTGACAGTAGCCTTTATCTATGCACCATGCGTAATATATCCCAAAAGCACTGGGTTCAACTTTGCTTACTTATTAAGATTACAGAATGTATGTTATAAAACCTATTAAAAAAAAAAAAGCTCAATGTAGCTTAATTTTAGAATGACTCATAAAGTCTCTTGGCAGCATATTAATTTTTCATGCACAGGTGTGTTAGAAATGTTATTAAGATTTAATTATTTTTTAGATTTATAACTACCTCGACAAATACGTTGTTGGTCAGTGTTTTGCCAAGAAGGTGCTTTCAGTTGCTGTGTACAATCATTATAAAAGAATCTATAATAATATCCCAGCTAACCTGAGACAGCAAGCAGAAGTTGAAAAACAGACTTCTTTGACGCCGAGAGGTTTGTATAATGTTATGTCCTTCTTAAAACTTTTGATTTCTGGCCCCTAACCTTTGTTTTTGGTCCTCTTGTAATACTAGTTGATTTGCAATCCATATACATTTAATTTTTATTCAGTATTTTTTCCCAAAGGAGTAGAAATGTTGCACTCTTGTAAAGTGGCTATTGATAGACTTGAACATTATTATTTAAAAACAAATTTTCAAAACTCAGCATAGAGGCAATCTCATTGCATTAGTAGTATCCGAAACGTTCATAGTGGACCAGTCTATTCCACCATCCAAACTAAGTGGTAAAGTAAATATATTACATGAGTAAGAAAACCTCTAGAACTTTAACCCCAAATGTTCTGCAGTTTAGATGATTGAAAAGAATTTCCATTTCATTTTCAGTGTATGTGAACTTCTGCGACATATTCCTAAACCAGAATTTTTATGCTGTCATGGATACAGTCTAGCCCCTTACTGCTACACGTTATTAGATATTCTTCTTTTACTTTGTAAAGTGATCCTCTTAAATTTTTCTTTTTAATCCCCTTTACTACTTAGCAGTAAAACTGCTACTTAACCTGCAAGCAACAGTGCAGCTCATTAGGACAATATTTGCATAGGGAATTTGATGAATATCACCTTTCTGATATCACGTGCTGCCTTTGGCAGCATCTGTTGGTCACCATGGTATTGTTCCACACGCAGCAGGTGTAGCTGGAGTTACTCTTGGCAGTACTTTGGCTACCCAACAGCTATAGCTGTGTTGATTTAACTTATTTTTAGAGCTAGGATTAAATTACCATCTCTGATTCAAAGTGTGCCTTGATGGCTTTTTTTAGTATTCTGTCATGCAATAAGTAGTATGCTAAGTAAACAAATACTTTTATTTATATGTATATTTAAGTATTTTTAAGGCAAGGGGGAATATTGGTAGTACTATGGTAATGGTAGGTAGTGGCAGAGAGCATCTGTGTCCTTGGCACAGGAAAGGGACTGATTCTGCACAGGAAGATAAAACAGTGCCCTAGACAGGGGAGCTGACAGTGAATATTTATAACGGATAATACTGTGCAAGATGTGCAATTCACAGTGCAAGTTTAAGGAGATCTTTTCTAAACTAGCTTGCGTTATAGTGGTGTTGGGTTTTTTGTTTTTGTTTTGTTTTTCTTGAGTGCTTTTAAATTAAAATCTCATAGGGATAGAAGTCTCTTGCTGTCATAAGTAGTAGAAGATATACTGTCATTTTAAAAGCACGCACATTGGGATTTGGGTTAGATTCAACAGCAATGAAGACTCATTCACGTGGGCTTGTCCTGTTAGAAATATATTCATTACATGGGGATGAAATGTATTCAGAAGAGGGCAAGAGGTAGAGCGTTTATAAACTTACATTTTTTATTACTGTTTTCATCCTCTCTCTTAGAATTAGAAATCAGAAGACGGGAGGATGAGTACAGATTTACAAGTAAGTGAACTCTCTCCTCATGTCCTCCTCTGCAATATTTATCCTTTTGACATTAATGTAGAACAGTGTTTCAGTGACAACTAGTAAGAAATGTTGGGGCAAAAAGAAATCCCATTTGCTTCACTTCTATCAATAAACTTGATAGCACTGAGGATGCTTCAGCTGAAGTTGTTAGGATTTGGCCCTGTGTCCAATTGTAGGTGGAAGGCGGGTAAACTGCAAAGATGTCTTTGGTAAAGTTGTTGGTTAAATAACAAGTGGAAGTTAAAGCTCTCTTCTTAAAATGGAGGTGTGATTTTGTATAGTAAGACTATACAAAATGAGAGCTAGAATAGGCCATTTTTTTGCCTATTCTGGGCAGATGGCAGTTGGGTTTGTTTTCAGTCTACTGGAAGTCTCAGGGGCTGCCAACGTGCTTCCTTAGTCTAGTGTAGATCAATTTATAATAAATTTATACTTGGTTTTCTTGAACTGCAGTTTCAACTCTGCAAGGTAATTAAAACTCCTAATGCTTTGTAAAGAAGGAGAAGAAAAAAACAATCCCCATGTCCATGTATGAAAATGAAACTTGTGATAATCAAACTAAGACAAGTTTGTCAGTCTTAAGAGTAGACCTGTGCATGGCTTTTGGTTGTTACAGTTAGCCAGTTCTTGTATCTTCTAATCATAGTAATCAACAGTTAAAAATAAGTGACTTATTTCAATAACAACTTTTCTGTAAGGACTTAAATTTCTCTAGCACTTATTTTTTTTTAATATGGAAAAATATTTAGAATTCAAATATTCCAATATGTGCTTGTGCAAAACTCTTGTAATAGTTGTGCCAAATTTGTTGTGGCCATTTCTGTAAACTTCTGTGCTTCATGTACAAGTAAATGTTTACAGAACAGAAGTGTGGGTTTTTTGTTTTTTATTTGTTTTTGATTGTGCATTAAGATGTTAGTAAACTTTGTCAGTGCTCAAACAGTGCTATTGTTTTTCTCTTCAGAACTGCTGCAGATCGCTGGAATTAGTCCACATGGGAATGCTTTAGGAGCATCGATGCAGCAGCAAATGAGCCAGCAGATAACTCAGGAGAAGCGGGGAGGTGAAGTACTAGATTCACCTAATGATGACATAAAACTTGAGAAGAGTAATATTTTACTGCTTGGACCAACTGGATCAGGTATGCAGTTGTATATTCTATAGGCTTAAGAGATTCTCTTGGAATGCTTTGCTAGTGAGTTATTTTTCCATTTGTGATTATTATCAATGGGAATATGTAAAGCTACAATGCAAGTTTCAAAATGGCATTTTGCGGTCTCGTGTCACAGTAAAAAGCCAAACTGAGTGACCTTCAGAAGGAGAGCAGTCTGGCTCTGCTATCTTTTTATATGCCTATGTTTACTGAATGATTAAGAGATGCAACTCTCAGCTGAAATGAAATGACTTTGTAGCTGTCAGCTCTAGATGGCAAATTAGAGATTCTGTGGTTAGGAAGTAATGTTTCATCTCAGGCAGATGAGTTACAGGGAGCTGAGAAAAAAATGCATTTCTGGATGTTCATGAGAAGTAGGGGTGTTTGTGCTGAAATAATAGCATTTTACAGACTTTTGGGGAGTACACAGAGCAAATGTAATTCTACTTCTTCACGCTTTCTAAGCAAGAGCAGTTGGACTCTGCACTGGAGCCTTAGTGTTTGAAAAGGACTAATGATTTATTTACTCTTTAATCTATGCAAGTACATGGATTTGGACTTATGTGTTTTATGATGTTTTATTTGTGATATTGTGTTTCAGGCTGCCTCGGGTATAGTATTAGTCTAATTTAAACATACAGCTTGGCAAGATAAAAAAACATTGTTTATGAAAATTGGTTACTTTGGAAAATATTCTTATCAGAATATATGAACGTGCTGGCATGATTTTAGAATAGCTGATGACTTTAGTAATAATCCCAAGGTAAATATTTGGCTTTGTGTGCTGTAAAGAAATTTATGGCACTTCTAACATACGTTTTTATTATATTAGGTAAAACCTTGCTGGCTCAGACTCTAGCTAAATGCCTAGATGTACCCTTTGCCATCTGTGACTGTACTACCTTGACTCAAGCTGGCTATGTTGGTGAAGACATTGAATCTGTCATTGCAAAACTCCTGCAGGATGCCAACTACAACGTAGAAAAAGCTCAACAAGGTAAACTTTGATCCTGTGTTTCCTGAAGCTTATTCACAGGCTGTGTTTATTTCGCCCAAGTACTTTAAACTTGCAGACCACCTTTATTTCTGTAACTTGGATTCTTGTTGCATGTACCTGAACTTGAACACTTTCAGATGGGAAATAATAAACCACTTTGAGTGCATCTGAGCTTTTCATATTTTTTCCAGTTTTGCTTATAAAACTTTGATCCTGTGTTTCCTGAATCAAAAATATGGAAGCATCTTAAGATGGAAGCATCTGCTATCTTAAATTGTGTTCTTCCCTCTGTGTTATTTTTTTACTTTTCTTGAAAAGGAGAATCTTCCTTAAATCCATGTTCTGTAACTGCAGGAATTGTTTTTCTGGATGAAGTAGACAAGATTGGCAGCGTTCCTGGTATTCATCAGTTACGGGATGTCGGTGGCGAAGGTGTTCAACAAGTAAGTACTTCTGTAGCATAATTTTACTTTGTAAGCAAACTGTTAGCTCATCAGCTCTGCATACATCTTGTCACATATCAAACAGCAAAGGAATGTTTAGAGTCATAGATTCTTTATTGCTTTTTCTCCCCCTCTATTTCTTCCTAGGGCTTATTAAAATTACTAGAAGGTACAATTGTAAATGTTCCAGAAAAGAATTCGCGAAAACTACGTGGAGAAACAGTACAGGTTGACACAACAAACATCCTCTTTGTAGCTTCTGGTGCTTTTAATGGTCTTGACAGAATTATCAGCAGGAGGAAAAACGAAAAGGTGAGTGCATCTGGCTGTGTTTGACCTGAAAAATTGTCACCTTAATTACTGTTCACAATACTGGCTGATAAGGCCCTGCTTGCTTTGTAAATCTGCTAGGTTTGTTTGTAGAACAGTGTTTTTTCATCTATTATCTGGGAAGCTGAGAACGGTGAAGTACTTTAAAGAAGTTCAAGAAAGGTGCTTTTTCTTTGTTTTTTCTCGTTTGGTGGTGTTTTGTTTTGTCTTTTCATAAAGCATTATTTGTCTGGTGTGTTGGCACCTTCCTGGGTGAATTAAATGTTAAACTGCTCGATTATGTGGAAAGGGTTTAGTTTTACCCTAAGCAAAATCTTAAGCCCAAATTAATATGTAATGACGTAATCATTCACTCCTGTGTATAGGCGTGGTAATTGTTTTTTTTTAATTCATATTGAATATTCAGTTATATAAGGAGAACTCATGCTTCTGTAAACAAAACATTTGTTTTACAGTATCTAGGATTTGGGACACCATCCAATTTGGGAAAAGGCCGAAGGGCTGCAGCAGCAGCAGATCTTGCTAATATAAGTGGAGAGTCCAACACACATCAAGACATAGAGGAAAAGGATCGCTTGCTGCGTCACGTGGAGGCCAGAGATCTCATCGAGTTCGGCATGATCCCCGAGTTCGTGGGCCGTCTGCCCGTTGTGGTTCCTCTGCACAGCCTCGACGAGAAGACACTCGTGCGGATTCTCACAGAGCCACGAAACGCTGTCGTTCCTCAATACCAGGCGCTATTCAGCATGGATAAGGTTTGCATTTTGCGTTTTCATTTGACAGCTTTTCAGTACTTGTGTGTATAGATACATAAAGCTGTTTTATAGATGTTAAAGCTGCTTTGCTCTAAAGATATGTTAGCCCTTTTGTGGCTGGAGAGGGTTGTATTTAAGTTGTTTGTAGAACAAGAAGCTGCACCAGCTTGCTCAGATATTATACGCCCTGCTCTGAAGATTACATTTTTTCTTGCATCTTTTTAGGAGAGAAAATAGATTTAATCTGTCAGTTTTGTCTCTAAAGTTGTATTAACTGCTTGCTGTGCAGCCATTGCTTCATGAGCAGTTTATACATACGGTATTGAGCAAGAGCTCAAAAATTGTCTGGATTTGTGATAGGATCTTGAAGTGAGCCAAACCTCATTTGGTAGTTCTTTAGTTACTTGAAATTCAACATGTATTTGTTTTCATTATCTGATTGTTCTGTTGTGTTTTGCCAATGCTATGCTCAGCTCTTTGGTTCATGTCTGATGTGGGGTTTTCTTGCCCTTTTTAAATGCCAAAATAATTTTCTCTCTGAGGGGAGGTGATTTCTTTGAGTAAAATGCCCATTATGCCACTAGGTATGTAAATGTTTTCTCAGCTTCTGATTCAGATTCTAAAAGCTATCTCAGTTTCCCCAGTTGAAGGCTGGGGGGTGGGAGGACTTCTGTATTCAGATCCACCAACCCTTTACTCTTTCCTGCTTTTTCTTAATCCTGGTCTTTCTTTTAAAAATGTTGTTGTATGATGTGTTTCAAGTGCTCTTTAAGATTGCAGAAGACAAGCAAAAGATTGAAGAATCAGTTCATTGCTGTTGTTCCTTAGCCCTTCCTTGGTTAAATGACCTAGACAATACTGGTACTTTAGGGAAACCAAAGCGTAGCTGAAGTTTTGTCTATGTAGTTAAAGATTCTGATCTGTAAAAAGCAAATGATTGCTGTGTGTCACTTCTCCTTTGTGTTGATCTGTACAGTCGTATCGGGCAACACTTGTACTGTTGTATTCGAAGCACAAACAAAATACCTGACTAAGCTTAATGTGTTTTTCTGTCTGTAGTGTGAATTAAATGTAACTGAAGATGCGTTGAAAGCTATAGCTAGACTGGCCCTTGACAGAAAAACTGGTGCAAGAGGCCTTCGATCTATAATGGTAAGTATGGGTAGTCTCAGATTAAGTGAAATCACTTATGTTCACGTAAGTGGTCCTAATGATGAGAGTTCTGACTCAAAATGTCATTTTATTCTGACTCTTATATAGATGCAATAAATCTCTTTATAAAACTGTAGATATTAAGATTTCTTGGGGGTCGGTCAACTCTGAGAAGCACTTGCTAAGCATAATTGTTACGTAAAAAGGGATTTGTGTTTTCTTTTCTTGTTTCCTTGTAGGAAAAGCTGTTGTTGGAGCCCATGTTTGAAGTGCCCAATTCTGACATCGTATGCGTGGAAGTCGACAAAGATGTTGTAGAAGGCAAAAAAGAGCCAGGATACATTAGGTAAAGCTGTAGTGGCAGTATTGGAACAGAGCAGTAATACAGCTAGACTGGTCTTCTGACCTTTGCCATAGGTACAGGTGTTTAAATCAGCTATGCACATGTCCTAGATTCACTGTATGCCAGACACAGTTGACTTTTAGTGCCTATTCTGTCCTGGACACTTTGGGTTTATATTGCTTCAGTTTTTAAGTAGAAGTTACAAAAATAAACTTTGATATGAAGTTGTTTTAAGTCCTCTGTGTGTGTGTCTATATGCCTGTAGAAATAGAGACATAAATGATGAGCATGACATGTTAATAGTGGTTTAAAAAAAAAAAAAAACTTTTAAATACGACTATAGTGCAGTTTCAGAAGTGGAACTCTTCCCTTTTTTTCTAGTGAAAAATGCCTTACTCTCTGAGATTTTTTCTAGGCAGGCTCCAGGCCTCTGCAGTTTTCTCCTGTGTTACCCTTTCAGTAATGGAGAGCCAAAAAGAAGCATCTATTGTTGACTTTTTGACCACTTGTTAAACAGATTTAATGTTGTGAAGATTGTATTATGTTAATGATGTGGTAGAGCAGTAAAGACACTGGGCAAAGCTGGGAAAAATAATGTTTTATTTTAGTAATAGGGGGACATTAACAGAGCTTGGGTCAGGATGAGGGTGCAAAACCGGGATTTATGAATTCTAGCATGATTTCCAGGTCTGCCAGAATGGTTGTGCCTGAATTCCTTAGCTCTATATGTGCCGATATCTGTGTTTGAAGCTTGCTTCAGCTTGCTTACTTCCCCTAAGAGGATGGTTGAAGTGGAAGATATTAATAGCTGCCTTCACTTATCTTGCAGAACACTAGTACTTGTGTTTCCTTAAAAATGGAAATTTACCTTATGTAACTGAGTTCAATGACCTCTTGGTGTTCAGTAATGATATTGCTCACTGGTAATGGTTAAAATCTGCGTAGCACCATTTTCAAGTGGGAAGGTTGTTTTGCAGATGGCCTACTTGTCGAAACACTTTCCTTCAGGGCAACTTGCAGGCCTCAATTTTGGCCATCTATGAATAGTGTCTCCGTTCTTTTCTCAATTTCTGTACCTATATCTGATCAGCTCATTTTAATTATAGGGCTCCTCCTAAAGATTCATCTGAAGAAGAATATGACTCTGGAGTTGAGGAAGAAGGCTGGCCTCGGCAAGCAGATGCTGCAAACAATTAAATACTGTCAGAATGCTCTCCTGCATAAAGCGCACTTGGTTATTTCTTTAAGAGTACATCTGGCTTCACGGTCTGATACTAAAGGCATTGGATCTATCTTGAATATGGTACATGATCAGGAAACTTCTTAGATAAATGAGATCATGTATTTTATTGTAACATCACATTGATTTATTTGGCGGACCTTGTGTGGACTAGAATGGCATAATGTTCAAATATAAATTGTATATTGCTTTTGTTCAATTAAAATATATAGCAAATATAGCAGCACCTGGATTGCTTTTTTAAAAACTGAATGGCAATGCAGGTGCTGCCAATAGTTAATTTTACAATAATGCTACTCTACAAATGGGAAAACAAGTTTAATAATTAGTAGGGGGTAAATAAACTATTAGCTCCTCATACAACTCGCGCTTGGGTTATGTTCAGGTCAGTGTTAGATTCCTGCTCGTGTTTGAAAGCAAACTGGTGCTGGAGTGACTTGTTACATTCGGTGTGGGAGGAAGCCCTTGCAATTCTATTTTGTGATTTTTGGGGAAAGATGTAACACTAGTCTGTTACGGTAATTTGGATGCAATATCAAGTACATCCATTTGTCCACCCTTTCTGTAGAAATAATTTTTATAGTCACCTTCAGTACTGTGGAAGAAGGTAAAGTCAATCTGCTAACTTTTTTCCAGAAGGGTAAACAGGATTTTGTAGGAAGCTGTCAGCCATGGGGGTTTGGATAGAAAGTTGGCATAAATTTTTAAATATTAATGTTCTAATATAGTACATTTTGTTTAACGTATTGGAACTATCATGCATCAATTTTTTGGTGCCAGGTATTTGCCCAACCTATCTTATAATGTTAAGAGATGAAAGAAGTAAATGTATAATATTTTTGATGTAATCAGTAGTAATTGTTCACATGACAGTGCTTTTTTAAGTTATATGCTTAAATCGCTAGTATCGCCTCTTGTGGTTTTGTCTTTGATTTTTAGTGTCACAGCAAAACAATCCTTCCTGCTTCTGTTTTAAACCCAAATGAATTCACTCCTTTAGGAAAGTATTTGTAAAAACACTAAAGGACCTGTATGTCTTTGATTCATTTCAGGAATTAAAAGTGTTATGTAGAACTTCTTTTTCTTCATACTGATACATGGATTTAGGTTTTACTCACTTTCTTCTCTCTTTCTTCCCCTTCCCCCCCAAGGTTTCATTTCAAGCTCTTTAAATAAAACTTCTGTCATTCTTTTCTGCCTCTTGGATATGCAGATATGTTGGTTTCCTGCTTATTTTTGTCATGTAAATACAAGGGAGTCGTGCTACAGCGGTGTAATACTGACAAGAAAGGACATGCGCATCTAACACCTTCTTCTCTTACCCTTTCAGTTTTATTTTCTGGACTGATCCATAAAAATTTCAGAAAAAGCTGCTGTCTGCATTGAGGATAGTTCCTGGAGCACCTTTGTCCTCTTAAAGGAGGAGTGTCTGTAACATTATTCACACTTCCCTTCCTCTAGAATGGGAAATACAACAGCTTGCATGAAAAAAATATGTCTCTATTTAAAAGATACTGAAAATCCATTAGGGAAAATGTTATAAACAAGGAAGGTCAGCATGGCTTTGAAAACTGTGATCGAGCCCTCTGGTGAGGGGGAAGCAAAGCCTGTGCCTCGACCCTTCTGCTTGTACTTCAGACCCCTTTTCCTGTGGGAATGAACCCCCGGGGGCGCCTGGAAGCGGCTTTTCCCCGTGTCGCTTCCCCGCGTGGGTCGCTAAAGGCCGCGACGAGGAGGAGGGCGGCGGCAGGGCCGGAGCGGGCGCCGCGGCGGCTCCTCCCGCCCGCCA